CTAGAATGTGGGCGTGGTAGGGTCGCCGTTGATGAACTATTCTTTAGTAAAAGTTTTCTCCGTTGTCATGACTGAGGTTATATAGTGGCAAGTGGCCCGCTTATCACGCACAGTGTCTGGGGACCGGTTCCCGCCCAGGCTATTTGAACTAAATAGTATTAGATTCGTCTACCAGGATAAGGCAACTCGTTGTATAGGCTGCATCGCATTCAGTAACCCACTGCGATCCTGAGCGGAAGAAGAATGCATGGTGCAGCTCGAAAATATTATTGATCAACAGGGAAAACTAAGCTTTTATAGTTTTTCAGCCGTACAATATGATACCCATCCACTTGCTATATTCACCATTGTGGCTGTAAAACTTGTAAGGATGTGAAACTGAAGAATGTAGGACTCACGCACTGTTCTCCTTTTCTTTGTTTCGACGGAAGCGTTTGAGAGGGGAACTGCAACTGCTTTATAGACTCTTTCCAACTGCTTATTTTTCTTTTAAGAGCACATACCATAGTATCGGGAAGCAGCAACACCTTTCCATCTTAGTCATGTCACTCGTAACGGCCGAGATGTCGTCGTTTATCTGGTGAAGATTTGCCTCGAGCTTATCCAGTTGCTCTGCAATACTAAGCGCAAAAGTAGCAATTACGAAAGGAACCAGTACTAGTATTCAATCTGTGCACTAGTACAACACCCTCCCATCATTCATCAAGTCAATAGGCTTTCGCATAATGGAAAGATTCTGGTTGCTTGGCGAAACCCAATGTTGGTTTATAGATGCCAATGGAGTTGCGGAAAACCAAGCCTTGAATCAACCCTTCTCGAGTTTTTAGTCCATATGTTAAGAGGGGGGAGAGGTGGGGGGGGGGCGTTGGGGGGAGGGTTACAAACACCGTTCACAGGTTTCGGACTGCCGGCCCATTGAAACGATAGGGGGGCGCGGCCGCATTTATAATTCGCGATTCGGGCAATCCGATAGGGCGACTGCTTGCGACGCTCTCCATTGCTGATTTCTGCTCCGTTGCAATGGTTCTACGCAGTTCTGTCAATGCAACTGGATTTGCAGTTGCAGCAATCGATGATAAAGGATGAAGCGTGGTCCGTCATGGTCTAGCAATTTTCAAATCTAGCTATTAGGTTGTCCGGAAAGTTCTTAGCGTTTTGTGCACCTAATCTTTGTACATTCACTGCTGATTAAAAACTCATTCTGCCTTGCTTCTCAGTAGCACATCCTGTAGAGAATTTCTTGCGCTATCTGATGGTATAATTGCCGTTTCACCATTGCTTGATAACCCCTTTTTTCAAGATTTTTTCAAGCATGTGAAAAGAGCACTTCGGACGATTTTTTTCTTCGACTATAAATTGGGGCAATCCGCAATCGAAACAGCTCAACAAATTAACCAGGTGTGGGGGCCCAATAGTGCTAAAGAAAGCACTGTGCGGCAATGGCTCAATAAATTTCGCTCTGAGATTTCAGCCTTGAAGGTGAGCCTCATAGCGGTCGACCTAAAGCAATATCTGACGAGGATTTTAGGGGGATTTTGAAGGTTGACCCATCCCAAACAGTTCGAGAGATAGCAGAAGAGCTAGGCCTTGGCAAATCCACTGTTGCAGATGGTCTGGAACGCATTGGGAAGGTGAAAAAACTCGACAATTGGGTGCCCCACAATCGGAGTGACCGGCAGGAATCGGCACGTCTCGAGGTTCCTTCTTCACTGCTTTTGCGCAAAAGAATTGACCCGTTTTTGAACGGATTTGTCACCTGTGATGAAAATGGATCATGTATGATAACAGGAGACGTTCCGGACAGTGGTTGGATTTGGAGGAACCACCGAGGTAATTTTCAAAGCCGAACCCTCGCGAAAAAAAAATTCTGGTCAGGTTTGGTGGTCATCGGCTGTTGTAATCCACTATAACTTTTCATCACCAGGCCAAACCATCACAGCAGAACCCTACTGTGAACAAACCGACCAAATGTACCGAAAATATTGTCAGCTGCAGCCAACACTTATCAAAAGAAAGGGTCCGATTCTTTTGCATGACAACGCCCGCCCACACGTTCACAAATCACTATCCATAAATTGAACGAATTGGGAGTTGAAGTTCTACCTCACCCACCATATTCTCTAGACCTTTCACCAACCGACTGTCACCTTTTCAGACATTTTCAGAACTTTCCTGCTGAGAAATACTTCATCAAACAGGACCAGGCAAAAAAGACCTTCGCAGATTTCGTGGATTCTCGACCACCCAGTTTTTTCTTTGATGGGATTTCTCGACTGCTGCCACATTGGCAAAAGTGTGCTGATTCGAATGGTGCTTATTTGGATTAAATCCGATGAGTGTTAAGAAAGTTATGATCGTTTAAAGTTAAACACCCAAAACGCTAAGAACTTTCCGGACAACCTAATATTAATCGCTCGAGATGAGAATACTCGCAAAATTCTCAAGTTCATACCGCAGGTTCCCCTTCTTTTCCTCGAGTCTGGAGCAAATCTCGCGATTGGCCATTCTTGAAGGCTGTCTTGTGAGGTCAGCTACACCGCAGTCACAGATGTTAGGCAGTGTTTATACTTCGCAAGTCAAGCGATGTGATCGCGCAATGCTACCTGCGCTCCTCCGCTATTCTGCAAATGCTTGAACTAGTTCTCTTCTGAATGCTACTGAATCACCACTTGTAGTGGCCCAACAGCCAGCAGTGTAGCGCAGTCGTTCGCAACCGTATTACTTGTGAATCTCGCGAGAATGAGTCATGAAGTGTCAATAAAAACTTGAAACGGCTCGAAATTGTGTAGCTGGAGAGTAGCTGGCCTATGATTCAGGCCTAAGAAGTTCCATATCACCTCCGGCCATTTTGGATGTGTCAGTGTTTGCTGTCACTTCAAAAGTCAAAGTCAACTTGTACGAGCATGGTATCATCTAAGACGCTTGTGGATGATGGTTCTCCCTATCCTTCATTACGAATTGTTCAGCATTGGAACCTCATAAGTGAACACAACGAAGTGCAATATAGGTGTATTTGAATAATGTCAATCCTCTGAAATTTTTGTTACCATCTTGATTTTCGAGAGCAGATAACGTCATAACTCCTTCTTCGTTCATCTTCTCTAATTCGTCAACCATTCTGTGGGTGCAGCCCAGCGCCTTAATAAGACATCACACTCTCAAAGATTAGAAGCAGAAGAAAAGGACAAGAACAGGAGAGCAGCCAGTGCATTTCTATCGAAACTAAGGATAAAGTGGAGTGAGTTGTTACTCACCTCGTAGTTCATACGCGATATTTCAGCATCGAAGTCAACTATTTTTAGTTTCAATCTCTCATTTCCCTCTCCTTTACTGAGTGGCTTCAGACTAGGAATACTGAAACTTTGTTCGATGGTATAACGATTCCTGTTAGAGTATGGATGCAGCCACTCACCTGTCGACGTCGATTCGTTTCACTGCCATTTCTCAACCAGCGACTGGAGATCCGTAGCTGAACCTGGAAAAGGTGGTTGGTACCAGATGTGTTTGGGAGAATAGGTGAGCTGTATGTTGATCGGCCCCGTAAATAAGTGTGTAGGCCAAGACCCATCCAATGCAAACAGATATCAACCCAATCTATTCGCATAATGCCAGTAGGATGAAGTAGAACACGTGGCGAATCCCAGAAAGAATGATCAGTAGTGAAACTCTCAAGCTTTTAGTGATAAAAGCTCAATCAATGCTACTAGCATATCTATCTACCAAAGAAAAAGTAATTTCAGTGTGGTACGGCCACCTTACATGATATTATCTCTCCATCCACAGCTGTGGAAAGAAAAACTTGGAACAAGCCACGGAACCGCGTTTCAAACAGTTCTGAAGCTCTTATTCAACAGCAATACAGTGGAAAGGTGAGCAGATAGCGGAATTCAACAAGAAAAACTATTCAGCGCTCTGAATTTGGTTTGCTTACTACTGGACTTGATTAGAGCCTTCATCATCCGTGGAATCGACTCCACAAGAGCTTCAGGGGTATCCAAGATTATTCGACTACAAATTTCTTGAAATGCATGTTTATTCTCATTCGTGTTGGTGGCCTTCTTTCCTTTGACTCATGCTTCTGCCATCTCAAAGATACCTGATGGCGTTAAGACGGAGGCTTTTACTCAGTCATTTTGTCATCCGCATGCTGGCTTTGGGTGTCGAAACCTAGATTTGACGTACTTCGGTGTTTGCTCAAGGTTATTTTTACTGATTTGAAAACAGTTCTCCCAGACACACTTTATCTATAATCGCAGTATTTCGGTACACAACTCAAGGGAAATCAAGTAATAAATTTACAGAAAATTCCAGTTTTCTTAGCTTGTTTCATTTTTTTCCGTAGCTGTATTTCCTCTTTCTGGCGTATGGCCTGACTCTAGCGACCTACATTGAATGGCAGGCAGAGACATAAAGAGCGTGAAGCCATAACATTATGCTGGTGGGGAGAGATTGAGATTCGAACTTTTTGATTCTTTTCAAACTCATGACTGTATTGTTTTTCTCAACAACCACTCAAGGTCTGGAAAAAAATCAACTCGGATACGTGGACGCTGAAATTTTCTATTATTCCCCCACAACCAAATGCTTCAGCTCTCTAACTTCAACGAGACCAATTCTTTTAAGTTACAGTTCCGCTGTTGTGTACCTGCCCACCCAGCGACACGACAATTATTCAGCTCTCAGATAGGATGTGTCCTTGTGAGGAGTTGTATCCTTGTGAGGAGTCATAACAAAGCGATGATTTGCCGAGAAAAAAAACCTATGGTAAGTCGTTGTTTCTCAGAATAGCGGGTCATACAGAATCGGAAATTTTGCGGCACCCAATCCAGTGAAGCTGATTAACAATTGAAGGGAATCCAAACCGGCTCTCAAATGGTTGTACATAAACATCCGTTCATTACGCTAGTCACACCGTTCACCGTTCGTTCTTAATTTTTTTAAGAAAGAATTAGCCCTAGTTCTATGGAGAGAGTCTCATGTTTCCAAGTA